CTCCAGCACCCCCCCCACACACACACACCCCGCTCCCTCTGTGGACACACACATCTCGCCCCATGGACAGATTGGTGCACAGGTTGGTGTGTGGCCTCTTTAAGAGCTCTGTGAAGGGAGTTTTCAAGCCACAGAATCTTCCAGAAGCTCTGGAATCTCCTCTTGCTTGACTGGTCTTAACTGATCAGAGTCAAGGTCTTCCTGCTGCAGAGGATGGGGCGCAGCACGGAGCTGGGGCGACGGCCGGCGTCCTGGGCACCGGCAAGGGCTGGCCAGGCTGGGGCCGTCCCATAAGTCCGGGCAGCCGTCAAATGTTTAAAGAAGAGAGTAATTGGTCAGGCGCTCTGATGCCGCAGTCAGTCCGTAGGGGGTTATACTGCTGACCCAAGACCACAGATCCCTGGGGTTCAAACCCACTGGGGCCAGAACGCGGGGGTCTCCTCCACTGCGGTGATTCATAGCCCCAGACGCCCCCTGGTGTCAGCTGTGGGTCAGTTCCCTGACGTGAGAGAGTGAGTGTAACCAGTGAGGAGAGAAAGGGTCACTTACCTCCCAAGGCGGAGGGAGAGCGGCTTGGTGTGTGGACGGCAGCCTCTGCCTCCCCCAGAGCAGGGTCGACCGGCACCCTGACGGCAGAGCCACGAGGAAGGAGAAAGCAAGAGACATGTTTTTCCTCCTCATGTGGTTTCAGTGACAGCTTCCAGGGGACACTGGCCTTACAGGTAGCTTTCACCCCCAGTCCCAGTTAGAGCAGCACCTTCCCAGGCCCTGCCTGTCTCACTTCCCCCATCCTTCCCTAGCTCTCCTCATGCCCTGCTCTTTTTCCGTCCGCATCATGCACTTTCTCGTCCTCTGGGCAGGCCACGAAGTTGGTGGGATGGCCTTTGAGGTAGGGCTGTCCCCGGAAAAAGACCACCCAAGGCCCAGTCAGGGACCCCGCAGGAGTGCAGGCCCCAGGGCCCCAGCTGTGCCAAGCCCAGGCCTCTCGTCCTACCACACGGGGACCTGTACATCGCCTGCCTGCACTTGGCAGGGTCCCCCAGGGTCATGGGAAGCACTGGCCCTGCCTTCCAGCTCCCATGTCCCCTCAGCCTGAATGAGGCACAGAAGGCCCCTTGGAGAGGGCCACCTGCCCTCTAGTGACGAGAGGCGGGGTTGGGCCGGCCTCAGAGGCTTGGGGGACACTGCAGCCTCCTGAACAGCTCGGTTTCCGGAAACGAAGCTCTGTGTCCCAGGGAGGGGCCGGCCCCCACCTGCCACCTTCTCCCAGGCGCTGGTTACAAAAGTTCCCTGACAGAATGACAACTTGTGGTCACACTGAGGGGTCCAGGCCTGCCCAGAGCCCGGGACCCATGTCTTGGAAGGCTTCTGCCCAGCTTGCAGGCCAACCACACGTCTCTGTTCTGCAGGGTGTGGGGACACACTGGTCCCCCCTGTGTTATGGGGTGGGGGTACGTTCACTGGGCTCCAACTCTGACCTGGACCCAGCTTGGCTAAGGGTCCCTAAGGTTGTGGAGTGAGGACGGGGCCAGGAATACACCATTGGCTGAGAGTCACTAGCACCCCGTCCTGCGACACAGCCTGAGGGCCTCACCCCCAAACCTGCCGACCCTTGACAAGGCAGCCTGTGGGGTGGCTGTCCCCAGGGGCTTGAATGGGCAGGGCCACAGCTTTGCAGACAGAAGCTCTCAGCTGTCCCCATCTGCTTTACCAGCTTCCTGGGTCCCTGGCCCCCCACTCTACTCCCTAATACTCCAGCTGGGAAATGCATCTGCTCCCCGAAGTCCTAGGTGCAGGTGGAAAGGGGGCACATGGGCGGGATGAGGGGTGCTCTGGCAGAAAACATCTAAACGAGGACTCGGGGCCACCAGTGGGGGTCACAGCTGCCACCCACACCCTTGCCTCCATCTTTCCCAGACCCCAGACCGGTGAGAGCCCCTCTTGGACGGGGTCACCCTCACCTGGGAGGGGCTCCCCACCAGAGAAGGCCCCAGGGGAGTCCCCGTCTGAGTAGGAGCCATGGCTGTAGCTTCCTCGTGTCCAGGGCCTCTGTGGGGCTGTCTCTGGGAGACCACTAGCCTGGGCTCTTTCCACTGCCCGCTCACTGTCCCAGCGGCCCGGCCGCCAAGTCCTCAGGGGCCCCGCGTGTGCTTGCACCTCTGCCACCACACCCTCTCCTGACCCACGCTAGGCTCTGGGTTCTCCGGCCAGCGGCTCCGTGTCCAGGGCAGAGGACAGTGTATGAGGCTCATGGTCTCCCCAAGACTCTGAAGCAGACCCCTCGATGGCACCCACAGGAGAGCCTCTCCCTCCGCCACCTCGTCCCAGGGCTGGTGGGGGCACAGGGTCCTGGGCTGGAGGGGCAGTGCTCACTAGAGGCTGAGGGTGAGCAGAAGCTTGACGTGCACACTGTGGGGCTCACACGGACCCTCTCCCAGCCTGGGAAGTGGGGGCAGAGGCCCCCAGAATCCAAACACAGACTTGCCCTATGAAGTGGGTGAAGTGTCTCGGGGCCATGCATTTGGCAGAGCGGAGCCTTCTCGCCGTAAACCGCAGCATTGTCCTTGTTTGTCTTGACACATCATCTCAGGTGACCCGGCACTGTCGCGAGGTGCCAGGGAGCTGACCTTGACTCACAGTGACCCTGTGCATGGCAGGTGCGTGCCTTGCCCTGTCCCGTACGTCCTCACGATCTCTGTCGGGCCCGCTGTAGTCGCCGTCACCGTTCACAACACGCCCGAAGTGTAGGAGACAAAGCGTGGCCATCCTGGCCTCTGAGGACCGCGCGGGCTGCGCTTTCTCCCAGACCCACCCGTTTGTCCTCTCAGCAGTCTACGGGCTACAGTGTATGGGCTAGTCATCACCCTTCTCCAACAACACAACTCACGACTCTTCAGTCATCCTCATTCACTGTCCAGCGTTTAGACGCCAAGCGGGTAGCTGAAAACACCATGGTCAGATCAGGCACACCTGAGTCTTTAAACTGACACCGTGGCATTTTGGAGAGGTCCCTGACTGCAGGTTTCCCCCAGTGGGACACGCCTTTGGACTGTGTCTTAAATCTTTCTTACTAAAAAGACAAATAATGCATAGTGCCACTGACATCGGGGTTGGGGGAAAACTAAGAAAAGAGGGGATAAATAACGTACATGGCATTGAAACAGATGAGGGAAAGAACTGCTTAAAAGGAATATATGATTAGTATTATTTGCATTACAAGAATTCAGAATAAGAGCTGCATAGCAGAGTGGACTGAGGGGATTGTACAACAATGAAAAAACTTATTTTTTTCAAAGAGAAAAGTGAACTGGGGGGCAGGGAGGGAAATGTGCAACTATGAATGAATGGAAATCCAAGTTCTCTATAAATTTTCATTAAAATATAAAAAAATTATCTCAGTGGGGGGAAAAATCTTTCTTATTTGGTTAGTTTCAAGGGACATGAGTTTTCTTTACTCCCAACCCATTTTCTGAGGCCACCAGCTATCGGAGCGACCTGGGGGAGCTGCTGGGGTACGTTAGCCTTGTATCCAGCCACCACTCGGAGCTCAGCTTTATTCCAGCTGCCAGTTGGCTGTGTTATTTCAAGGTGGGCTGCCGCAGTCATGTGAGTAATGGGCATTTTGGCTTTCCTTTG